CCTTTCTATATAGCACAGAATTTGCATTAATATCGTTGCAAATACTGTTCTAATACTCTAAAAGAAATTTATCAACTTTAATATTGAAATATATTATATCTCGAAAATAGTAGATTGTCTACGTTCAAATGGGGGGTGATTTTTATTCAGGGAAACACACTCTACAATCCTGCCAAGTTTCATTGAAATCAGTGAGGGTCACTCCGGAGCCTTACTTTATAAAATCAGAAAAATTTTTTTTTACAATTCAAATTCTTTTTTCCTTGGATTTATATTATTTTCAATTGCTCATTATTGGAATGATTATATATATTGAATAAAATATGGATAATTAGCAATGTATTTATACAAAATATTTGTGGACAATAGATGTAGATAAATGCTGATGATTATCGGCATGTTACGCTTTCCTGTACTTCCATGTACATAAATCTTAATTTTCAGAATTTGAAATAACGATAAAAAATGAAAAATTTCGAAGTAATATATAAAGTAAATATTTCCTCTCTCAATTTCATGTTAGTTGCATTACATGCGAAACTTGATTTGTGATATAATACATAATCAATTATGTGTGATAATGTTGACTATATTGTTGCACTGTTTCATTAATTAGTTAAATTTAATTAGAAGAAACTAATGTTTTTAAAAAATGTTTATTTTTTTTTAGATAAATAAAGGAAAAAATCGAATTATATTACTGTCTAATTTATCAAAGACGTGTGATATGTTTCTAAATGTTGCTACTTATATAAATGGAAATAAAAAAAATATCTTAGTTAACTAATGAGTTTCAAAAACTTATTATATGACGCTCTCATTATTTTAAACATAAATCTTATCTATTAAATATAATGTGATAAATATAATTAACAGGAAGTGTAATCTAAGCCCAAATTATTTTTTGCAAGGAAATAGATCTGACTTTATTTCTATATCTATATATTTACTTATGATCGAAAAATTGTGTAATTTAAAAAAAAATTTAGTTTTTAACGACACGCATATAATACATACATACATAATTATTCATTTAAATCACATTTTTATACTTGTTGAAATTTTTAGAAATAGACTAAAAAATTTACAAAATATTTTTTTTTTACGTTGATCTTTTACTTGCTTATCAAAATACTTAGTTACCGTTTTAATAAAGATGATTGAAAAATTGGTTGTTTTACCAATGTATCTGTAAAAAAAGTGATTGTGATGCAAATCTGCTCAGTTATGCTCAATTATGTGAGAAAGGAATGGTAGAATATTACCAGTAAATTACATATTAACTTCTACTTACCTCAAATAGTAAATTACAGCATAAGGATAATACATCGAACATTAGACACGAAAAATACGCTGTATATTAAATTATGTTAGAACAAGTGTAATTATTAAGTACTGTTGAAAATATGATGCATACATATAGGCTAAAAAAATTTTGTCATTAATAATAGATGTTCCTATGATATGTAGTGCACAAAGCGGAAATTAGCTTTTATTTTAGTGTTTCCATACAGAATAGTTGGTGTGTTGATAAAGGGGAGGAACAAATTACATATAAATATTACATATATTGCATATATTATAAAATACATACATCTATATGCATATATATATACATAATGCAATATATATATATATATATATATATATATATGAAAAATTATGTTATATATTATGTGATACACAAAGTTTAGGTACACTATTTTGTCCTACTCATATACATATACGTGCAAACGTATTATGTGTTATAATGATTGTATTATATAGCATATAAAAGAAAGAACGTGAGAAAAATAGGTTTCAAGTTCTAAAAGAATATTATACGTAATGCCATTAAAACATGTGTTAACGCGAGAAGTATGAAACTGGGAAGAACGTTTGTTTCTGGATATATTGTTGAATATGGAGATTTATTTTTGTGTGCGGAAGTAATAATATGAACCTTTCCTTTCCACAAAATGACGAATCTCTGGCGCAATGCGTGAATATATACATACAGACATACATTAAGGATTATTATATAAAGATCACAAGATTGTATCTGCTTCGCGCGATGGTAATACTACAGTGGCTGGCAAATAATACTTAGCGATTATTTTCATTTCTCGCTCTTCTCCCTCGTCCTTTGTTTCTTTCATCTGGATTGTATCTTTTTTAGTTTCTTGTTTGTTAATTTCTTTTCATAATATAATATCTCAATTACACCGCTTTTACACGGTATTTGTTAATTTGGGCTTCACTTTGGTATAACTAATTTTTCCACTTGTATTTTTCCTTGGCCTATATACAAAATTTTCAGATAAAACGATGTAATTTAGCATTGGTAACATCTGCAAATTGTAAGTGAAATAATTAGAAGGCAGCGTCGCTAAATTACATCATTTTATCTTATGTGAAAGTGTAAAAAATCATGATCTGTGTTGCGTATTTTTGTATTTTGCATACTAGTCTTACGTATTGTTGTCCAATGCGTTAATATCTATATCAAATAACATATCTTATATTGTAACAAGTGCTATAGACATTAATTAATATTGGATGTACTTGTTATAATTGTTATATTTCCTAATGAAGTTTTTATATAGCGAAGTAATAATAGTAAAGTAATAATTCAAATATAACGATACATATTAATATTTTTTTAAAAATTATATATCGGGGAGAATTAATTTTATTGCAAAAAGTTAGGATATCCAACAAAGTTAGGATATCTGTTTTTTACTGACACTAGTAGTATTACCAAAACCGCTGTAATATTAATTTTTTCTTGAGTATGTGTAAGTATCACAGATCCCTAAGGGCAAGGCGGAAACAATTGACGATAGTTGATAAATGTGCTTATTTTTTTGTGAAAGAAAAATTTACGAGAAATTATATACTCTTGTCTGTCCAATGTCTGGAACAACCTAATGAGTTTGGGAGGCATAAACCCTTTCGTTTCGAATCGAATTTATTTACATAATCTTTCTTTATCAATCTTGTCCTACTTTGTTTGCCTCCCATAGTGTCTCTAATGACATACTGTCTCTTGGAGAGATACATTTTAATTACGATGAGTTAAGTTGCGATATATCATACAAAAAGGTATTTGTTACCCATTCGCCATCATCGAAATACAAGCATGCTTCTCTTCAATGGTATCTGTAGCGAGACTCGTATGAAAAAGAGAGAAATTGTTTTGTGAATTGAGAGCACTATAGGGGGCTGACAAACACTTCGGACAATACTTTTCTCGCTGTATTAAGACAAATAATGTTGCAGCAATAAAATGTAAATTAGCATACGGAGTATTTGTTTTTTTTCTAAACGCTACTGGTACAGAAAACGCAGCAATACTTTGCCCTTTGTGCGGGAACAATCTAATGCATCTCGCCAGGGATATGTGTACTCTCGTGATAGCTTAAAGCAAATCTATTACTCAGAGCATTACTGCGTTTTTAACACTTATCCTCAATCCTCTAAATCTGATTAGGACTGTTCCAGACCTATTGGTGGCGGTACTAACAAATAGCTTATCCTAAAATATGTATATTGTATTACTTTCTCCATGTCGAAAAATCTAACATTATACCTTTCTCTGAATTTCGTTATAGTAAAATTGTAAAAAGACCAATGCACATCATACTCAACAAAGTGCACTATTTGCAACAGACCTAATCAGACCATTTCCCGTTTTTTCTGATTCTTTCTCTTCTGTAGATAATGATATCACGCTTTATATCATAAAATCAGTCATATTAGTTATATCTGTAAATTTTATGAGGTGCAAATATTTTGATTTAAAAGCGAAATTTATAAATTAATAGTATAATACAGCACAAAAATTATTTTATATATAATATTAGTAAAAATAGTTAAACAAATTAAGAACATAATTAAGAGTATAATTTCTTATATTGGGAAGGAAATATTTGCAGTTTTTCTTCATTATAAGATTTGGGATACTCTGCATAGCGTAAGAGGAAGTTTCGCTAATTGAGAGGATCGATACTGTCTAACATAGACCATTATCGAATCGTATCTCTCTGATGAGATTTTGTAAAAAAAAAATAAAAGAACATAGGTAAGTACGTTACGCTTTAGTGATAACAGAGGTTTACGTGATAGTTTAGTTCTAAATAAGATACACTTATCATTGATATGAAAAAAAAAAGTCTTGCTTCGGATGTTATCTGTATTAATGTAACGCGACACTCTGTTTTTCAGGGAAATCAACAAACGGTAAAGCGAAGGTGCCCTTGGCGCAGTGGAACTCCGGGGTTGAGCATGGTGGCAACGTTGGTAGCGTGGACGACGAGGCGTCCTTGATCACGGAATCCAGTCCAGTTTCACCGCCGTTTGTCCGTGCTCCGGCGGAGGACCGTTCCAAGTACGAGAAACTGGCATTCAATGCCGATGAGATATCAAGTGATAGCGACAAAGAAGCCAAGGAAGTGAAGGAGCGAGCGAAGAAGGCAAAGAGAAGGCGTGTAAAGAACGTGCTGAGCCGTAGAAGAAGAGTCGCTGCCCAGCTGCACGACAATGCGGAGAACACGACGAACGTGGATTACGAGTCGGACGATTCGATCGGTTCGGCCAGCGACCTACGCGCGATGAACGACGAGGAAGGTAATGACGGCGAGGTGAATGACGACGAGGACGACGAGGACGGTGGCGTGTGCAGAAAACACGACGAGACCATCTCCGAGAGTGTGCGCACGTGTGGCAGCTCCGCGTATCACGCGGAGTGCGAGTCTGTTGCGACACACGAAGATGATTACAGGATGAAGAGGCTGAGGAAGCACCACTATCGGCAGCAGGAGCAACAGCTGCCGACAATCGACGCGGATCCGGTCGTTGGCCATCAGTATGGTGAGAAGCCATTGTTGTTGGATGACGAACTAGACCCAGAGTCCAAACCGGAGCAATCGCACGGCGATCCTTTCGTGCGGCATCAGTATGGCTCAAAGCCGTTGCTGTTTAACAACGGCGACAGCTCGTCTGACGACAACGACAAGTCCAAGTCGCTCAACAACGGGATTTGGAAAGTGGAGGATGACGTGTTTGCCTTGGCACCTTTTCCGAGGTCCAGCAGCTCGCGGAAGAGCAGCGACAGTCGCGAAAGCGAGTCCAGGAACATCGATCTAGGCGGCAGTGCGAGGAACTCACCTCACAACTCGAATCTGGTGACACCGATCTCGAGTTCACCTATACCGGCGGAGGTGTTTGTGGACATGGTGGAAAGTAAACCCGCGCCTCCGCCGTCCAAGTCTGCCGTTCTCTCTTGTAAATATCCCAAAAGCATCGCAATTGTGAATAGCAAGACTATCTACGAAGAGCCAGTGTCGTTCCATCAGCCGAGCGTTATCCAAACGTCGTCGCCAGTCAAAAGCAGTTCTCATGTCTGCGTTGCCGAAGAGGAAGAGGAGGAGGAGGAGGCTGAAGAGAACATTGAGAAGGATCTCTTCGGTTCCTCCCCATTTAGCCCGAGCGGATTCACCAATCCTTTTAATAACGCTCAGTCCAATTTTTCGAACATCGACTCCGCACCAACTCAGCCCTTGTCAATCCTGAGTCCAGTCGGCCCTTCATCGTACATTGATTATGTCAACTGCGTTTCACTGCAGTCCCACAACGCGGCATCGGACAATTATTTCACTAGTCACTCGAACACAATCGCGTCCACGTCGAAATATGGCATGGTGACGGTGAACTCCGACCCAACGATTAGTGTGGAACCCTCCAAGGATCTCTTCGGATCGATTCCGTTCGAGGAATTCGCCTCGCTGAAGCTGAATGAGCAGCAACAACAACAGCAGCAACAACGCCCGACGTCTCTGTCGCTGTCGCAATCACTGTCACAGTTGCAATCACAGTCGCCGAACTACGTGGACAACGTCGCGTTAACGACGACGTTGCCGATCAGCAGCGTCGTGCAGTCCCCAAAGAATACCGTCGTTCATTTAACATCCACCCCGTCATCACAGCCACAACCATCCGCCTATATGATTCAAACGACCACCACGCATACCGCAAGAATCACCGTGCACGCAGTCAACAGCGTCTCTAAGGTGGACATCACATCCAATATGATGTCACCCATGTCGCCCGAGCCTCTAGTCGTCGTGGACGACGACACGCCGAAACACAACAAGAAAGACAAATCCAAATCGGACAAGTCTAAGTATCACCTGATCAATGAAAACCACGGTGACGTCACCAACGTATTACCGACTTATAAGGCGTCTCACAAGATCAAATCGGCAAGCCACAAGAAAACACCCAAGGGCAAGAAGAGCACGGCCGCAACCGCTGGTTTCAGTAATATGAGCTTCGAAGATTTTCCCAGCGATGAGAATGAAGAGAGGCAAACAGATCGAATGAAGGTAGCGCCTTTTGAGGTAATCCGCGAAGCGTCGGAGAAGCGTTTTGGATCATTGAAGAGGCGGAGCAATCCGTTCACCTGAAATGAGATGGTTTTTGTTAGAAGCTAGTTAATACAAAGTCGTTTATTAGCAACACAGGAACGGAGCAGCGACATGATATAGTTGATTAATTCGTTGTGTATATTGTAGAGATAAACATCGGCAAACACACCGTTCTATGCACACAAAATTATTTGATTGGTCAGAGTTTTATTACGTGTATTGTGAATGCACATACATACACACACTAACAACGTTAGTTGTTACGTACGCAAGATATTAATCTTAATAGATAGTAAAAATGACATACGATAAAATTTCCATCGGGGAGTTGATACACAGGTTGTAAATATGTAGAAAGCGTTTGCGTTTAAGACAATTTGTTTTTCGGACGCGCAAATACGTCAAGAGTGAAATTCCGAGTGAATAAAGTTGCGTTTGTTTCACATGCTTGTTTTTGGAATGCTCGTTTGTGAAAAAATAATAATAAGTCAGATAAATTAATTTATTTAATAGATCTCTTGTAGAAGATTGCAAAAAGTAATATTTAAAATTTTTACCTCTATGATTAAGCCAAATCTCGAATGTTGCAGTATTAGAAACTGCTTCTTTAAATGCTTAACTTACTCTCGAATTAACAAAATTCTACGATCATGATCAACATCTTTTTGACACCCGTGCATTTTTTTCACAAACGTCGACAATGTGATGTGATAGCAGCAAAAGCTGCATATGTTTATATCAGAAGGCATACAACATGAGCAGATATATTTATATGTACACATGCCTAACTGACAAACGTGTGATGGATCGTATAAAGCGTGATTTACACTAATGTCGGAAAGTATTAATTCATATACTACCATTTTTTAATTACTTTTTGCATTTTTAGAAGATTTACACAGACAAGACAGATAGCCATAAGAAGTTGACGGAAAAAAGACATTATATTAAAGAAAACTGTTGATTTTTGAAACATTGAAAAGAAAGAGTGAGAAAGAGAAAGAGAGAGAGAGAGAGAGAGAGACACTTCCCAACTTATGATTTAACATAAAACCAGGTTGTGGAACTTGGCAGCTCGATACCAAAAATGATAAAACTAGGTAGAGAAAGCTCGTGCATCTATTTTTGCAGCTAAGTCTTTTCACTACGTTTGTACTTTACAAAATTTGTAGATTTCTACTAGTTCAATCTACTAGTTCATACAAAGCAATTTTTCTAAGAAAGTTAATCTGTGTACTATATACATATATATACCTGTAAACGTAATTCATTGTAAAATTGATGAAAAAGATAATTTTTTTATTCTATTTATGGTCTCTTGAAGAAGAGATTATAACAGAGTATGAAAATTAACATAATGAATAATTTACAGAAATTAGTGTTACAAAGGCGCAGATAATAGCATTGTGAAGCGATTCGTAACATTTGTAAAGGAGCGAATAAGCTCGCCTATAGAATTGGCCTTACCGTGTAAGACTGACTTATTGTTTAACAGTCTCGATTTACATTTACATTGTGTAAGATAGCTATGTTTTAATAACGTTATGGTTCATAGACATTATTCGAATTATTCGAAACGAAAACTGATTATACGCGATTATTATGTCCCTTATGATGGAGACTGTTAAATAAAATATATGAAAAGTAGATGTGATACTAGTACTTAGTGTATAGGTACTAGTAAGAACACTTATCGACATTAATTTTTCTATCTCACATTGAGAGAATATCTTGTATGTGTTAAATTATTTGATTTCAGCAATTAAATTTTAATACGTTTTATATAATTTTGGAAATTATTTTAACCAAATTTTATACTGCTAATATATTGCGCCTTTTTAATCGATTCTACGAAAAGAATCTAGTTCAATGTAAAAAGATGTGACAATATGTGCGCGTGTGTGTGCGTGCGTGCGTGTGTAATACACACACACATACACATATTTGTTTGTATATATATTTATATTATTTTAGGATATTTTATATATATTTTCAAAATAATAAAATTATGAAAAAATTACAGATTATTCTAAATCACGTTTAAAAATAATACGACAAATTTGTTGATTCATTACTATCTGGATTACAAGTTATTTTAGTAAATAGTAGTATTTTTTAAATCTGTCTTTTTTAATGAAAATATATGGAAATATGTTATAAAATAAATAATAAAAATCTCAATTTTTGAATATAAATACATTATGTATTTAAGATTATTTACGTAGAGTTACATTGCGATGCATGAATTAGTTGTCCAGTAAAATAAACAAAATATTTATTTGTTCTATATTTTGCAACTAATCAGTGAATCGCAATAAAACTTTACACAAATTATTTTGAATATTTAAGGTACTTATAAAAAAAAAATGTAAATTTTTTAATTATTTTTTAAATTTTAATTTTGAACAATGCAAATAATAATATAAAATAAATAAACTACTAAAAATGTGTTATTAAACAAAAAATCTTATTCACACAACTTTCATATGTACATAGTTTATTTGAAGTTGGAAATATTAAACACATTTCCAAATTTAATTTCTTTTACAGGGATTGTATGTTCAATATATATCCTTAAAAAAATGTTTATAATCTATATGTTTTTATGCACATACACACACACGCGCGCGCACGCGCGCACATATATATATGTATATATGTATATATATATGTGTGTGTGTGCAGTATGAGTGGGACATTTTCCCAAGTGGAAAGAATTAAGAGAGGTAAAAAAAAATTATATAAAAATCGTAAAATGTTTGTTTTCTTAGAGGAAAGAAAACGCATTTTGTATAGAGGACGTTACATAAGAATTAATCAAAGTAGATATGAATTTTTTATTTAAGTGGAAATCCTTATTTTTAAAAGTGCGAACCATTTAAGCTGTAAATACTTCGTTGACTGATCAGGAAGAAAGAATTGTTTTAATTGGTCAATCAAAGAATATTTCAAAGCAGCCTGAAATGGATCGCACCCTAGTTTTTAACTTAAAACGGATTATAACCAGGGTTTTGAAAATATCTTGACAAAAATATACAATAAAAAATAGGAGTTTCCATTCAAAGAATTTATATTGATCTTGACCTTAGTATGGCTCTTAAAATTCGTTATTTTCATCTTCTTCTTCCCAAGAAAATCTATAATTTTTACATATAACTCTTTTATCTCTCTTAGTTCCTAAGATATCGCCTGCGGTGATTAAAATGTCCCGCCTCATATATATGTATATAATAAAATGTAACATAATTTGTAGATATTATAGCTTGTATGATTTAGGTGCCTTCCTTTATCGAGTAGTTCAAGCTTGCAAGTCTCTGCTGTTATGTAGAATAAAAGCTGATAGTATTCTAAGATAAACAGAGTCAATTGTATTTGTATGTAAGGGATAATGTATCTAAGAAATTGTTTTCTGTTTAGTTCCTATACATAACGGTGAGATGTATGTATATCTATAGGAGAAGTTAAAAGTTATTTTTAATGTCGTCATTGCAAAAAATAAGAGTTATTTATGCAAACATAGAAAATTAAACACTAAATTTCAGCGACATGATGAAAATTCGACGAGAAGTAATAATTTCAAAGTATTTGTTGAACATACGGAAGAACCGTTGTTATTCCAAGCCTTAAAATAATATACTTCATCATTCTGTGCACCATGTATAAAATAGAACGAACTGGAGGTGCTAAGAAATACTGAGCATTTTTAATTTAATACCCTAAAGCCCGTTTCTACCAATATAGTTTAATTTTAATCTCGGTTTAACTAACTCTTCATCTTTTTCCAGTTCTAAGAATTAGAAAAAGATAAAGAGTAAGTTAAACTGAGATTAAAATTAATTTACATTGGTAGAAATGGGCCTAAGAAGAATATAATTCGATTGTATAAATTCTTATGATTCTACATATATAGTATATAGATACAATACATTCCTTCTTTAAATTTTCACATATTGTTTTATTTATTGTATGGTTATAGGTTCTTTCTTCTTCGTATTCTTTTTCATATATATGTCTCGCAGGGAAAAAATAAATGTCCTAAATATGTGTGTCGGAAAGTTTTACGGATATATTTTATTAGTTATATTTAAATTGTGTCACTGCCTGCACTAACAGGTTATTGTATTTTTCTTTACCATTTATCATTAATAATATAATTATCGTGTTTCAGCAAGGTAATAATATGAAAGAAATAACGTGCTCTCGTTTATACTAAGTTTAACAGTGTGGATTTTTAAACTTCTTGGGATGATCACAAATATAGTTTCAATGTGTGCGCATATGTGTATGTATAATATAGTAATGAAAATCGTGTAAAAATGTATAAAGAGAATGGGATTATATAAAATATGAAAGAGGGACGTGATTATTTTCCATGGCAGAGCAGATGAATCTTTAATTTTTTGATATTAGGCACAAATACGAAGAAAATAGTTATTGAAAACACTATATCTCTGTATAAAATACATAAATAAAATGTATACTATTAACATGAGTATCAATCATATACGTCTGCGTCCTGTTACATTTTTTCAGAGGACATCCTTATTTATTACATTTTACCAAAATACTGTCAAGAGTTTGCCACTAATTAATTTTATAAAAGATGTCATTCAACAGCAACAAAATTTTTCTCCTAAATTGCGCTGCCTTTTCCTCGCCATGATGAAGTTTATAGAACACGCGACTATCCAAGCGGCGAAATTGAGCCAGCTTGTATATATTGCGAGTTGAAGCGCGATCGCGGTGTTCATCTCGGTGCGACTCCAGTGATTCTTATCTGGCTGAACATAATCCATGAAATCAAAAATCGCGCCGCACGACAACCTATTATGAATCGCCTATAACAAGAATAAATTAAAATAGAGTTCTAATCTCTTAAATTCATTTTATTTTTGAAATATATCAATCACTAAAATTATTTAACCCTCCGGAACTGACAGTCGAATGATCCTACTCAACTTTTTGATCTATCTACTACCATTATTATAAATCTTTTTGTCAAAAAGTCAAACAATTCAATTTTCTTTATATCTGTAAAAATTATTTTTACTAAAGTATACTTAATATTCATTTGTTTTTTTATAGTATATGAATTATGTCATTTTAGTCCTTTAAAAAAAATTAATTGATGCTTTTCAATTATTAATGCCTTTCAATTAAATTAAAATGGATTTTAGATCCAGCATGAATAACTGTTACAGATTTTGACATCAGCTCCGCAGGATTAAGTTAGAAAAAAAATGTTCTTACTAAAATTTCGCGGCCTCTCGAACCCAAGAGTTGAATGAGATTTCGTCTATATTGTTCGCAAGTTTTATAGTAGCCGTCGGTTATCACGACCGCGTGGGCGAGAGACAGGCAGCAGACAAATGCTGCGAGGAAACCGAAAGGCATCCACCACTTAAAAGCAACTCTCTTCTTTACTTGGATCACAACATACCCATTAAGATTTCTTCTAGAAAAATATAATTAGAAAAACATACATATAATTATGAATAAAAATCCCGGTAAAAAATTTTTCATACCTGAACATGTATAAATATATATATAAACATACATAAATATTCATAAACATATATAATATAAAATATATATATATATGTTCATACATCTCTCTTTCTTTTGTAAAATTTTAGTGTAATAAAAATAATAATAGTAACTTGAAAACATAAAAAATAATTAAAGGGATAATTTTCGCATTGTTCGTTTTAGAAAAAAACAAGCTTGGAAAAATATAAAAAAAATTACTCATACACAATTATGCATAATTTCATATATAATTATACATAAGTAATTTTATATTTTTTCAAATTTAAATTTTTCTAAAATAAAAATTATCCTTTTAATTATTTTTAATGTTTTAACATTACTATTATTATTTCTATTACACAAAAAGTAATTTTACAAAAGAAAGAAGGTTGTATGAACATATTTCATACAAAATTATGTATGTTTATGAATATTTATACATGTTTATACATATTCATGCACAAATTTTTTACTTCTCAGAAAATGAAAAGAATAAGCACCTGTCATTGTACACTTGTCCATGATTAATTTGTTTAGGCTCGTCTAAATTTTTATGTATGCAGCATCTGTATCCATGATAGGCCCCAAGACACAAGCTGATTACTATGATGGGTGTAAGAGCGTACGCGGCAAAGTGGCATAGTTTCTCATCACCGCCGAGAAATGTGCGAAATGTATTGATACCATATAATATACAGCCGCAATCAACATCGATGCAACCGTCTAATGTCACTACCCAATTCTGCCATGTGGTCACCAGAGATATAACAGATGTAACGGAAAATATCATGGATCCGGTATACAACACCGCCAGCCATATTTCTGCTTGCTTTGAATTCATAATTGCTTCTTATATAATGCCTCCTCTGAACTATCCAAATTATCAATTAGAAAAAAACTATTTGTACGCATCCACTTGTTTATCGTTAAAAAATGTTCATCAGCAGAAGATATAATGTGGCAACACCTATTTTATTCTTCATGCAAAGAGATTCTTTCTTTATTCATATTTTAATAATTATAGCTTCGTGACGTGCGGCATGAATTTATCTGGAAGATAGAGAAGATAAATTTTATGAGCCTGATCTCTTCATCCTATTTTTTATTATAGATTATGGATCTATTAAAGTTAAAAATGTCGTTTTTCTTACATCATCTTAATCCTGCATTAGAATGTATTCAGAGAAAAAATATGGTAACAATTATATACAAGTTTTACATAATAATTAATGTATATAGTTGAATAAGCTATTTTTATAGTTACTGCACCTATAAAATAATTCAATTATAAATGTTTATAATTTTATGTTTTTCTCTCTGTGTAAATTTGTATTCCAAAGTTGAATAAGCTATTTTTATAGTTACTGCACCTATAAAATAGTTCAATTATAAATGTTCATAATTTTATGTTTTTCTCTCTATGTGTAAATTTGTATTCCAAAACATGCATACTTTGCAAGTCTTTAAAGATGCTTATTAATATTATTATTACATTATGACGATCAATCGAACTTAAAAAGTTAATGTATATATTAAGCTTCAATTTGCTATTGCGTTTCAAATCCGACAAACTCGATGCGTAGTTTCTAAAAATGAATAATGTATTTGTAAAAATTTGCATATGAATATTATTATGCAAAATCTGTTGCAACTAAATATAGGATTTCTCTTAACTAATTTATATGTATCTCTAGCGAAAAAAATAAGCTAGATGACTAACGTTGTCAACTACTCTGGTGAAAATTTTTCTCAGAATTTTTCATATAATTTTTCAGAATTTTTCTAATTTTATAACTTTCTCACATTTTTTATACGAATTGAAACATTTCTCAGAAAATTTACATCTTTTTTCAGAATTTTTCATGTATGTTAATTATGAAATATCGTAAGATTTTTAAGATTTTTTGTAAATATAATTTTTGATGAGATGTTATAAAATCTAAAAAATTGAAAAATACTTTTTAAAAATTATGGGATGAGAAATTTCAGAATATTTCAAAATTCACTTATATGAAAAGTTCTGAGAGAAGATGTAAACTTTCCGAAAATTTTTGAGTATTTCTAAAAAATGTTCCAATTCGTATAAAAATTATAAAAAAAATTTTCACGAGGATACATAATAATAATAATTAATAATCATATGAAATAAGAAAAATAGAAGAGACGATCAATAAAAATATTATGATCGACAATTATACATATCATCAAAAAGATAAAAGATATTGTGGATTTTTAAATTAAGATTCTTTGTATTATAGTGGTCATTAATAAGTCACGTTCTAATTCTAAAGGAAAATTCGACAAATGCTAATTTTAATTATTGCTTTCAAGTTTAACTTTATTTAATCTTTGTATAATTGATTTTGACCTTTTATCATTGACTTTTTGTTTGTTATTCCGAGACTTTTTGTCAATCGTGATTCAGTATAACGCGGCGCGGATAGACAGGAAACGCAAGGCGTGAAGATTCGCGTAGGATTATAAAATACGCGAAACAGGTTGAGAACGGTACAAATATTTTAGAGAAGCTATTTCTCCATGTTCGACAGATCTATTTTCAGCGGATTAAATCTCTCAATTTCATCTGTCTCCTATCGCGCGCACACCCAGTTTCGCGCATTCAGGCGAGATCAGTTTTCCATCATTGATGCAGTGCCTTCATTCAATTTCAGAATACCATTATTAAATAACGTAAAATACGATATACTATGATATATTAAAGATTAGGTACATATCTAGGCAGCATAGAATATTTATGATAAATATTTATTACTATAATATTTATTTTTTGAAATACATTATATAAATATTTTATACATATTTTATATACAGTTTTATTAAAAATATTATTAAAATATAGAGTAAATATTTTATGTAATTTTTATGATAAATATAAATAAATATTTCTAGTATAAATATTTTTTACTTATAATTGTCTTACTAACAATAAGTAATTTCATAACATTTTCCACAATTTATAATAAATATTTCATAATATTTATAATAAATATTTGTAATTTGTTCAATTTAAGATCACAAAATTATTTACAAAATATTCAAAATAAATTTTATTAAATATTTACAAATATTTTCTAA